ATCTTTATTCCCAATTGTTTTCTAAGAGTAACCGTTGGGGTTATTCCACTTCATACAAAATATTGATTAAACACTACAATAAATCTCAAAATATAAATGTTAGTAAATTTACAAAAAAGTGTGGAATAAATCTTGAACATATGTTTTTAAATCAAAACAAAGAAGATCTTCATTTAATCTTGAATATCGTTTCTTTAATCTTGAAAACAATTTATTTCAACTTTGACATAACTAAAAAGTCTTGATTATTATGAGTAACGTTATCCCTTTATGATATAGTTGGTTTTATATAGTATACATTACATTACATTGCAGAATTGACTGGCAAATGAGTAATCCAAATGTAATACTGTATTGCTTACTTTCTTAATGATAAATCACGATCACAACATAGAGTACTAGGAAATAAGGAAATTATATTTCAAACATTTCTTTTTGTTTTTTCTTAATCAATTTTTTAATTAAAGGCTTAATTAATCATCATTAACTTATTGAGTGGAGGGAAAATCTTGACTCCCTGGAGGACCACTATTCTTTTTTAATCATTAATTTATCACAACAGGTTTTTTAGAAATTCTTTAACGATCCTAACGCGGATGGATAAAATTGTCTTCAATCTATGGTACCAGCTAAGCAACTGTCATCTAAGCAACTACTGCATTACAATTTAACATGTACCACATTAGCCTTAATACAACAAGTTTTTGAAACCACCTAACTATCTGAACGCTGACGCTGACAGAGGATATTGGTTCCAGCTAGGAGACTATACATTCGAGTTAGGTACTTAACTATGTGATACAGGAGGAACGGACTAGATAGATTACCACCTACTTCAGTTCAAAGTAGATAACGTGACCATTGGGAAAAACTACTCTGACAAAGATGAGGCTACCACCAAGGAAGAGGGGTCAGTATTCATTGCTACCACTTTAGGCCTTACAGTATCTCAAGGATTATTTGAAAAATGAAAATCATAAGATCGTTCACGACTATGAAATAGGATACACATAACATAATGTTATAGTGCTTGAGATGATTGGACTCGCTCGCTAAACACAATAAATGTACTGTAATGGTATCCTTTGTCTGCTCAGGTGACTGCTGCAAACAGGACGAAGGAAGTCTCCCCCTGAGGGCCTCCAAGCGGACTGCAATTAGAATAATAAAAAACCTACATCCAGGTACATCATGCAGGGAACATTTTAAAATGCTAAACATATTAACAGTTTATGGTCAGTTTATTTTATACACTATTATGATATTTTTACACAATAAGAAGGATACAATTTTAGAACAAGAAATACACCATTAAAACACGCGAAAAAAGAATTAAATCATACCCACTCACCATAGACTTGAATTTTACACAAAGAAGCCGTCTTACAAAGGAGCAAGTTATTTTAGAAAATTGCCAAGTGTCAAATAAACAGTTCCAAATTTAAACTAAAACTAAAAACTTACTTGGTTTGCAAAGTTTTATATTCCATAGAAGAGTATATGAATAGTTATTAAGCAAATGTTAATTTAAATAGCTAAGTTGACACTATTCAGATGTACTAACATGTACTTGTCTTGTACGAATAAAGATATTTTGATTTGATTTGATTTGACTGGAAAGACGTCGGCTGGATTCAAATAAACACCGGAATAATAACATTATATTTCTTAATGTAAATTTGTGTTTTTGCTGATCAATTTAAGACATTAGGTTGTATTGTTGAATTTTGCATAATATGGTAGCCAATCTTTTATTTAAGATGGATCATAGTTGAATGAGCTCCTGACAGATTAGGCTATTTCCTTAATTCTATCTTCTCTATATACAGTATAATAGTTGTATGTAGCATAAAAGCTGTCACCGTTTATCGACATCTTTTCTTTAATCCTGGAAGTCAGCAGAATTTACAGAAACCAGTGTTTGACATCAACAAACTGTCGCTCAACTTTTCAATCTAAAACTTGTTACAAATTTAAATGGGAATGTTCTGTCCAGGGGCGGCTCCAGTCATGGCCGCCTTTAACTCCAGACCACGGCCTTCGAAGTGGAAACGTCGCAAGTAGGGGTAGCTGTTTTGTTTTGGAAGAAGCAAGCTAATTATTTGTGTATTTACGAAAGCTTGGTTATTGGACTATGATAATATTGACTCCGCTAAAATTTACAGATATAGATTTTCAATTCATATTGTTTTGGTTTTCAATTCTGTATGTTTTATTTTCAATATTTTGATAAATTTATGTTCATAAATTTTAATTTTAATCAATAAAGTGCGAATTAATTAGTTGATGTACCCTGTCTGCCATGTTATCGGGACGTCTGACACTAAACAACCCTACTTAATTGCAACGTTGCCAATTCTACTGTTGTGTTATATACTTCGATGATTCTACCAGGCCGCGGCCTGGGGTTAAAGGTGGCCGAGCTCCAGCACGGATTATTGAAGGGGGCATTGCCGGAACTTTTGGGTTGTAAGTTAGGCTTCTTAACCCTTCTCCCTTCACACAAGTGCTGTATTTAAGGTACTTGCAGACCAAGGCCAAATTAATAAAGTGATCCCCGTCCTTTAGGTGGAACTTTCCCGCGATTGCGGCAAAATCGTGGATATCTCCAGCAATTAAGGGTATATTATTCCCCAAGATTGCAGATAAAATCGTCAATATCACTCACCTTCAAGAGGACATCATCATTGTCACCCATGATAGCGGGGATATCGTGAACATCTCCCGCGATCAAGGGAACATCGTCGTCGTCATCCGCGATTGCAGGGAAATCGTGAACACCTCCCGCAATCTAGGGAACATCATCATCGTCACCAGCGATCGTGGCGTTTTTGTACAACACCACTGCGGCCCTAGACCACAGCCTGGTCGTAAATCCAACACTGCCTCATACCACTCATATTTCAGTAACAATTTATATTGATTGATGGAGTGCAATGCAGACTTTGAGTATTTAATTAATTGTAATATAAAGTTAATAGCAAATTAACATAAGTTTTGTGTTAAGTGTTGTTGGTTTCTAGTTTTGGCTTAGACACTTCGCTAATTAAGTACTAAGAAAAATTAAAGTAACAAAACGCCACGCGCGCAATTCGTCCGCAAAGCCAAAGCAAAGCGCTCGCGTTTCGTTTGTCGTCATCGTCAAAACGTGGCTGCTAATGCTAATCAGCCCCTGTCCTGTTGGTAATAATGAAAAACTAGTACAGTAAACCGTACCATTGAGTTAGGTTTGAGTTAGGTTACTGAGTTAGGTTTATACTCAATGACCGTACTCACATTTTTGAGCGGATTGAGCGAATCTCTTATATCAAACTCCTGCTCTCCTGCTCTTGATTACCATTTACCGGTACTTGTCGTGAACGGCTGAAGCGTTCCGCATGAAATTTATAAACAGTCATAGTAATCAACTATGGAAAGGTAAATCTGAAAAAAATTGTACAAATCGGACTACAGGGCTTTTCTCTACGTGAATTTTAATTTTTAGAAATTTAACATGGACCTTTATGGGGTTGTTATGATATTATTTATCTGCAAGATAACAATAAAACAGGTAAACAAAAGAGTGGAGATTTAGCAATATCATTGACTTATGATACTGCAAGTATACATCCCATTTGCGGTAACCAGATGTAGCATTGACTTTGGAAAAGTATTGGATCAAGATACTAGCTCCGCTCAATATTGCAAGCAGACAACTACATTGTACTTTTGAGATACATCTTTACTCCGGCTTTCGAAGGGAACATGCCCCCCTTCGGACAAAGGGGTTTGCTCCACGTAATTTAAAATTTTTAGAAATTTAACATGGGCCTTATGGGTTTATTGGTCGTTATGATACTATTTATCCGCAAGATAACAATAAATACCCCCACCGTAGCAAACCTTCAGACTAAGCGAATTTCAACTTGTTTGATTACATTTTTACTAAAATATTTGGACCATAAATAAAACATATTTATTCCCTATTTAAATAACATTAGATTTAACGAGTGCTTAGGTTTGCTGCTACGGGGAAGGTAAAAAGTGTTTTTTGACTATACGTTAATAGTAAAGGATGAAATAAATAAATTTGCCAAATTTTATCAATCCATAATTTATGTGAACCAGATGTACTAATTGACTTGCGATTCTGTGCGGATACATCTCATTTACGTGGACTAGATTTAGCCATAGATAAAACATACATTTAGCATTGACTTATGATACTGCAAGTATACATTAAACAAAGATTTAGCATTGACTTTGTAAACGTTTGGTATGCTAGCTCCGCTCAATATTACAATCAGACAAATGAATTGTACTTCTGAGATACGTTTTTACTCCGGCTTTCGAATGAGGGCATGTCCCCCCTTGGGTCTGTCAGTTATATCAATTTTAAAGTTCCCATGTAATTTGAATGATTAATGATTTAATTAACAAATTGCAGATGCTGGTATGAAGTAAGCCGCGGCCTGGTAGAATTGACAACGTCGCAAGTGGTTTTGTATAGTGACAGACATCCCATAAGATAACGTGGCAGACACGTGACATCAGCTCATTTTCGCACTTTATTGATTTAAATTTATATTTATGAACATAAATTTACTAAACCATTGAAAATAAAACATACAGAATTGAAAACCGAAACAATATGAATTAAAAATCTATATCTGTAAATTTGAGCGGAGTCAATATTGTCATAGTCCAATAACCAAGCTTTCGTAAATACACAAATAATTAGCTTGCTTCTTCCAAAACAAAACAGCTGTTACAACCCTACTTGCGACGTTTCCACTTCGAAAGCCGCGGCCTCCGGCCTGGATTTTTGAGTTAAAGGCGGCCGTCAGTCTTTATGGTTTAGTCTAGCAGTTCCTCTTCTAGCAAGATCAAGATGGACTTCGTAGCCTCATAGCAGAAATACAAGGCAGCCTACTACTAGGACAAAAATGTTTCATGCTCATGCTCCAGCCATTCATTATAATACATTTTAATAATAATAAACAATTAAACAAACAGTCACTAAAACAACAGGAAACATGTACAGAAACGTCAGAAACACTTATTTTTAGGTTATCGGTTATCGTTCGTTTGTTGCAATTACAGTTAGTAGGCTATGTACCTTTATCTCAGAGTTGATTAAATTGTTAAAAAGGTTTATCTAAAAAAAACTTCCTTGGTAACTTAACTTATTACCAATCTGTTTAAAGTTTAATCACTGCTTTGCAATCAATAAGTAGGCCCTAGAATTAAATTGCATATTTTTTCTAAGCCTAAGTTAGTTGTAGTAAAATATCATTAACCATGTCGAGTGTGCTTTGTGTAACTTTATACAGGAATGACACTCAAATTTTACACAGATCTAAAGAAATTAAACAAAATAATTTAAGAAATATTATTGATGGGCTTAAGGATATGCAAGCAAATATAAACCAACTGCTTACTGATTTGGTAAACAATTGTGATGGTAAAATTGGAAAAGCAAATCAGGAAATGGAAATGGAAGGTGATGGTGGTGAAGATGATGAAGAAGGTAGGCCTAATGTGTGTTAGGTAGTCAATTTAAGGTTTTTATTGAGTGTTGCCTAGGTACCTAAGTTAGTATAAACGTTGATAGCCTAAGTTAGGACTCCGTCCAAGGCAATACAACTAATAACCTAGGCAATAGGAATAAACGAGGCCTAATTAAAGTTTATTTGATGTTGCCTTGCTCCATCGTAACGTCACACCGGGAACGTTTAGTATTTTAGGCTTAGTTTAAATCAGATCAATCTATAACTTAACTAAACTTGCTTTATTTTTGATAAAACAGTAGAGCGTCGAAAATCTAAAGGGTTTTAAAATATTTTTTAGCACTGAGATAACAGATATTTTAAAAGGCTGCACTTTACTTTACGTCCTACACTCATTCGAATAAAACAACCGAATGAAAATATCGGTATATCGAGCGTTTCATTCGATATATCGTTTGTTTACTTAAGGTTAGGTTAACCTTACCTAACTAACAAAATGATATATCGAACAATCGATATATCGATCGATATTTTCATTCGAATGAGTGTAGGACGTAAAGTTAAGTGCAGCCTTTTAAAATTTCGTGGGCAAAACAGTCAGCTTGTTGGTAATGTACCTAATATAACTTACCTAAGTAGGCCTAACTTACAATTTAACCATTATTTTAGTGAATTTCCTATAAGTTAGGGAATAAGCTATTAAGTTAAGTTACCGTAAGGTCTCATGGTAAGACCTGGACCCAGGACCGATTTACTTTTTCCTTTGGAGGTCCGCAGAGGCCAAAAACACCATTCGTTCAAATTCATAAATGTAAATTTATAGATATGCCTACCTATAGGCCTGTATATATATATTTATTGCAGAAGATATGTGTCCGGTAACCGGATGTGGATTAGGCCCTAGGCGTCCGGCAGTTACACTGTCATAACGAACCAAACTTGCTGATAGGCTAAAGAAAATATCGAATGAATGTAAGACAGACAGACAGACAGAAAATCTTTAATCAAAATCTTAGAGATTTGAAAGGCGTCAATACAATATTAATACAAAAATGAGATAAATTGTCAAATACAATCAAAATTCTGCCAGTCCATAAATTCTCTTATGCTGTAGAATGGCATCTTGCAGAACCAACCGGTGAGTTGAGCTTTTAAGGTTTTAGGGTTGACATCTTTCAGCTCTCCTGGCAGCATGTTGAAGAATTTTGTTTCAGCATAGGTAGGCTTACGTTCGAAGAGTCCAAGGCAATGAGCAGGGAGGTTGTAGTTGGTTTTATTTCTCGTTTCTTAGCTGTGTACTTCTTCATGTCGCTTGAGATTCCTGGTTGAGGCCAAAATAATGGTTTCTATTATGTAGAGACTGATTACAGTAAGTAGTTCATTGTCTTTAAAGAAACCTCTAGAACTTTCCAGCCAGTCGACATCATACATGATTTTCAGAGCTTTTTTCTGCAGTATCAATACTCGTTCCAAGTGAGTATGAGCAGCAGACCCCCAAACTGCTATTCCATACCGTAGATGGCTTTCAAATAGGACGTGATACGCCACAAGCACAGCCTCTTGCGTGCGTGCAGACGCTTTTAATTCTCCTCAGAGCATATAGAGCGCTACTAAGCTGTCGACATAGGTGGTCTAGATTGAATTGATTGAATGGTCTTTGATTCGTTGAAAACCAAGTCATTGCTACTAAAGTAGTCCTCCGCACATCCAAGAGCCACGAATGTTCTCATTTCCAGATTTTCAACAGATTCACCCGATGTCAGCAGAACAGAGTCATCTGCATACAAACGGTATGGCAATGTTGGTGAAGGAAATCTGGCAGGTCATTGGTAAATAATATGAACAAGATTGGTCCAAGGACCGATCCCTGTGGTACTCCCCTTGATGTTGACAAAAGTACAGATCTGGTCTTAGATTTTATTCCATTTTGGACTTCTAGCTCAACCAATTGATGCCTTCCTTGAAGATAGTTCTGGAACCACATCAATGCTGAATCTTCGAAACCCAGCAGGCTGAGCTTTTCCAGTATCAGGTCATGACCAAGGCAGTCAAAAGCCTTGGTCATGTCTAGAAAGATGCCAGTAGTTGTATCACCCTCCTCGATTCGGTCAATGATGTATTCAACCACTTCCACCAACGCTGTCAAGGTGGACCGTTTGCTCAAAAACCCGTGCTGTTGATTAGTTAGCAAGTTGTTCCAAGGGCAAGGTGATGAAACACTCTTTTTATCACTATATTCTCAATAACCTTTGAAAATGTTGATTTGAGCGAAATGGGTCTGAAATTTCCAACGTCTTCTTTTGACCCCTTCTTGTGTAGTGGTACTACTTTTGACATCTTTAGTTTGCTTGGAAATTGACCTTGCTCAAAGGATAGATTTCTAATATAAACCAAGGGAGGTGTTAGTTCCTCTGAACAGTACTTTAAGATTTTCGAAGATATCTCATCCAGGCCAGCAGATGGTTTGGGTTTTAGCTTACGGATTATCTCATGTCATGGCTGTCAGTTGGATGTAAGGTGTTTATGGGAGAGGAAATGTTAGGGGGAGCAACCCCTCCTTTTTGCTGTAACCGTACTCTCTGAGTTCCTCAAAGGGTTTTTTCTGCAACAGAGGAAAAGTACTCGTTGAAATGATCAGCAAGAACTTTATTTACCATTTACCATTTACCATTTACCATCGATGTCTTCTCCGCCGTCCTTGTAGACAGGGGAATCGTCAAATTCTTGTTAATATGTGTATGCGTGTGTGTGAGTTTGAGCATTGCTCTCCTATTTATTGTTTAGGTTATATTTGTGTTCATTTATAAAGTCAATTAATTTATAATATGGTCGTTTAATCAAGTATTGTTTGAGTTGTTTTTTAAAAGTTTTATTTTCACTTATTTCTTTGAGTTCTTTTGGCAAAAGATTAAACATTTTGATCCCCATGTTGTTTGGTGTTTTACTGGTTTTGTTTAGCCTGTGATAGCCTATGTCAAGGTTTGATTTGTTTCTGATGTTATAGTTGTGACAATGGGTTCTGAGTTGGGGGGATTTGATTTGATTGAGGTAATTGTTTCAAAAAGGTAAAGGGAGATTACAGTTAGGATTTGGTTTTCGATAAAGAAAGGTTTACAGTGGGCTTGTGGGTTTTCTTGTTCAATTTGTTCTATTATTCGAATTGCTTTCTTCTGTAGGGTTATTATTTTCTCAATGTGAATTTCATTTGCAGAGCCCCAGGCTATGATGCCATATCTGATATGCGATGAAAAGATTGCATGATATGCAGTTATAGTAATTTCTTTGTTTGTTAGACTTCTAATTCTTCGTAAAGCATATAGGCCCCTGAATATATGGTTTGACCTAGAAATAATTAGAACACAAATGAAACCATTGTAGTTTGATAGTGAAAAGTATTGTGAATAACATATCAAAAGTCTCCAAAAATATCTTTGGTGGTACACCACCATTTTTCCAAAATGGCGGCCAAATCCAGTAGTTTTCTGCTTTTTAATGAAATTATGACTTTCCAGTCAATATTAGTGAAAAGTCGTAAATACATTTTATTTTCCTCCTGAAATTACCTTTAAAATTATACCAAATACATGTACGTACAACCAAAAATAAACCCCGCAGAAATAATAAAATATTTCAAATAAAAGTTTTCCAATAAATTAATGTAATAGTCCAAGCAAACTAATAAAACAGACACAGGGATCGTATAAAAATTTGCAAGTAAACGTTTTATGGTTTAATTTTTATTTTTGTGGTGTGCAGAGTGACATATCAAAAGTTGCAAAAAATCAGTCAACGGGAAACCCCTAAATTAATTATATAAAATGGTGGCTTTTCTCAATATTGGACAAATTTTGCAAAAAGAGATACCGAATACTTTTTTGCACATTTTTCGAGATATTGACTTGGGACCACCGCCAATATTTATTGGGTCGTTAGTACTGTACTTCATTTTGATAGGGGACGCTTTTTTGACCGCCATCTTGGATCCGCCATATTGGACATATATTTTTTTAATGCAATGATAGTGTTGTGACACATCATTTCAAACTACATTCTTATACTGATTTCAATGCTGAAATCCGTTTTTAAATATATTTTTTCGTTTAGAAGATATGTTTAAACGAAAACTCTCCCCCATACATTTCTTATGGACGTTTTGTAGTTTGATAATTTTTTTCAGATTATTTTTCTTACATATCGAGTTCTTATTAACGGTTGCAGTTTGTTCTGGCCTTAAAATATTCAGTATTGTAAGGGCTTCCATTTGAGCTCTTGAGCATTAAAATCAGACGAGTTAAAGACCAGCTACAAACCTCAGAACAATATCAATTTTAACTTTTTAGAAATAAATTTTTATTAAAAGATTTATAACTCGGGTTGTTAATACGTCACCAAGTTCTTTCTAGTCTCAAATTACTCAGTAAATGTTTGGCTTTGATTTTATTAATTATTAAACAAAATCTGACAATTTTAAAATGAGTCATGGATTTTAATTAACATTAAAATGTATTTATTTTAAAATTTGTATTTTTGAACGTATATCCCCAATTCTAAATCACTCCCAAAACTCTTTATAGTCTTAAATAATTCGTAACATCATTTACTTTTATTTTAGCTAAGGATTACTTATTGGGAGTTATTAGGGTTCGGGATATCTGTCCTTAACCAAAGACAAATTTCTAAAAAGAAATAATTTACTGTCAAATGAAGATTCATGACTCATTTTAAATTTTTCGGATTTTATTTAGTGATTGATAAAATTAAAGAAAAGCATTTACAGAATAATTTAAGACCAGAAAGAACTTGGCGACTTATTAACAACCCGAGTTATAACTCTTTTAATAAAAATATATTTCTAAAAAGTTAAAATTGATATTGTTCTGAGGTTTGTAGCTGGTCTTTAACTCGTCTGATTTTAATGCTCAAGAGCTCAAATGGAAGCCCTTACAATACTGAATATTTTAAGGCCAGAACGAACTGCAACCGTTAAAAAGAACTCGATATATAAGAAAAATAATCTGAA